AGAAAAATTGAAGAAATGTCGAAATATAAAAGAGATTTGAAATGGATGAAGTGTTCACTAAAATTTGTATATATAGCTAATATATATATTTACACACACACACACACACACATATATATATATATATATATATATATATATATAGCTCTATTCTGTTTGCTGTTGTCTTCCTTCATCGATGTTTGTTCATAAACACTGAACCAAAATGGCCGCCAGAAATCTGTTTGGGAAATGTGTGCATTTTTTGGTTAATTAAAAACAGGATCGTCTGGAAAAATAGTTTCCTTAAGACATGTTCCTTCCAAACACTCATGAGAACAACACTAACAATAACCAGAGTGCTGTAAAACAAACAGTAGCAGAAATAATTCTCATGTTTCTACTGCAACTTAACTATTCTGAAGTATTTGCAATATTGTTTCAAAGAAATTCTTTTGATTAGATAATTTTCCTAGATTTTATCTTTCAATTTTTTCTTTCATTTTTATTTCATAAACATTTTTCTTTCAATTTCCATTCTATTTTACTCTTCTTTCTTTCAAAGCTTTTTCCACTTTGTGGAATGAACTCCTACATTGGTGGTTTTCTGAATACTTTAATCTTGATCACAAGTCATTGAGTTCATCATTATCTATCCTCCTTATCTCACTTCCTTTTAATGATTTAATTACCTCCCCTTTGATTCTAATACCTATATAAAGGTGTAAAGTGGAGACTAGCTTTACTTGTATTTTATTCTGGAAATTATGGAGGACTAAAGAGATAACAGAAGGAACTAAAGTGAGGAATAACACTTTCTACCACCTTCCATCCACTAATTTCAAAAAGACTTCACTCATCATTGCCATTTCAGTTTTAGTCCTCTACCTTGAATGATGCGCAAACGTTGTATAGAGTAATATTTATTTTTAAGAAAACAAACAAAGCAATAATACCACTTAGACCAAGGATTACTTAGTGGGAAAGAGAATGAGAAGACATTAGTGAGGAGAAAATAAAATAAAAGAACAAGAAGACAGATGTGACTGAGGTTGCATTTAAATTTTTTGAAGATCGTAGTTGGCAAGGAGCAAGAAACAGGAATACAATTTTAATACATCCAAGACAAAACTACTGTCATTTACTCACTATAGAGAAACTCCACTGCCTCCTATCAGCATAGTTGATGCTCAACTCTATCAGAGCACCTCACCATGCTTTCTTGGTCTCATGTTTTCCACTGATCTGAGGTGGAACAACTGTATTGAATCCATAGCTACATCTACTGCAAGGAAAGTTGGTTCTCTGTGTCACGCCAGAAGGTTTTTCTCATCTGAGTCCATCCTTCACATCAACAAATGTACCATTCGTCCATGCATAGAATACTGTTGCCATAGGTGGTCTGGTGCCTCCACTTTTCATCTCAAGGTTCTCAACAAAATCCAAAGACGGATATGCAGTTTGATCGGTCCTGACTTGGGGTCTCAACTCCAGTCACTTTCTCACCTCTGTCTTTTCTATAAATATTTTCATGGCATCTGCTCTGACAAGCTATTTTCACTGGTGTCCCAACTGCACGAATTTAAGCATTCTACTAGGTTGTCATCTCGGTCCCAACCTTTTACTGCCGAAACAGTTAAATATAACCACTTCTTCTACTTCAACAGCATCTTCTATCGTACTTTTCAACAGTGGAACTCCCTTCCTCTTACTTGCTTCCCTGATAACTATAATCTTCAAAAATTTAAATGTAATGTCAATCAACATCTTCTGATGCCTTGATCTCTGTTCTTCTTTTTATCCTTCTCCATTTTTCTTTTTATCCTTTCCTCATCCCCACTATAACCAGTCTTTTCCCTTACTTTCATTCTCTGTAATCCTCTGCATACTAGTAGCACTCCCACCTTGCTTGGTGTGAAATGCTTAAAAAAAAAGTTTCACAGATGAGAAGTGCAAGACAAGAAACTATTAGAATAAATCATGCAGTAAAATAAGGGAGACATATTTGCCAATCTTAATTCTTGTTCTACTGTGTCCATTCAGGACGTAGGTGATCATGGCTTTCCACAACTTCATATCCCTTGTATCATACTTATTATAAAACCCAGGTTGTGTGTGTGTGTGTCTGTACGTTTATATATTGGATCGGATTTCCTACATTTTTCAACCGATTTCAACAAAACTTCACAGGACTGCGTAAAATTACCTTGCGGTGGTTCTGACAGCGCCAAAAATTGGAAAAACACAGTTATTTTTGCATGAAATCAATTTGAAAACATGATTAAGAGGCATCACTTTTGCAGAATGAAAGGGGGACAACTCATATCGAGTTATACTTATTACAAAACCCAGGTTGTTTGTGGGTGTGTGTGTGTGTGTGTGTGTGTGTTTATATATGGGATCAGATTTCCTACATTTTTCAACCGATTTCAACAAAACTTCACAGGACTGCGTAAAATTACCTTGCGGTGGTTCTGACAGTGCCAAAAATTGGAAAAACACAGTTATTTTTGCACGAAATCAATTTGAAAACATGATTAAGAAGCATCACTTTTGCAGAATGAAAGGGGGACAAGTCATATCGAGTTATACTTATTACAAAACCCAGGTTGTTTGTGGGTGTGTGTGTGTGTGTGTGTGTGTGTTTATATATGGGATCGGATTTCCTACATTTTTCAACTGATTTCAACAAAACTTCACTTTTTTTTTTGGCAGGTAGTGTTTCTTATTGTCTTGCACACTTTTTCTTTTATTTTACATTCAGAATGCTTTAAAAATTCCATTTACAAGACAATTGTTTATAATAAAATTCTATTCAATCGGTAGACTCATAATGATTGAAAACAATGTTTTTGTTTGAGTTTGGGTTTGACCAATTTGTAAAAAAAACAAAACAAAACAAAACAAAACAAAAAAAAAACTAATTAAGACATGCGTGTCCATCAACCTTAAACAATAATCTTTGTCAATTTTATTTTTCAGTCTTTATGATGGTCGATACTTGATCTATCTCTTACTGTTACATCCCCGGGCAACGCCTGGGTCTACTGCTAGTCTCTTAATAAACTTTGTCTTTCTGTTATTTCTCCAAATCCCTGTTTCACCATCCATTTACTCAAGCTCGCTAAGTACGTTATATGTTGTTTTCCTCTGTACCTCTGCCCCTATCTGCCCTGTGAGTATCAGATTTTTCAAGCTCTCCTTCCTCATTTCTTACCTTGAAACTTCAAATGTTTCTTCCTGGTGTTAAGTGTTATACTATGCTTAAATTTATGTGGTCAAAGTACCAAAAATAACATTAGAACAATTGCCATGAAAATATTTATAAAAAAAGCACAAGGAAACTATGTTATGTTGGTGGAAAAGCAACTGAAGTTGAAATGCCAGGTCAGAACTAATAATGCTGCAGATCCTTTTTTGGATTTTGTTGAAAATCTCAAGCTATCTAGCAGGTGCATCTGCTCATCTATGGTAGCAATATTCAGTGCATGGATAAATGGACTCTTTAACAATAAATTTAGCTTCTGCACATTAAACAGAAGGATAAATATTTGAAACAAGCATCTGTCACATTATCATGGCAACAAAATTTTCTAAAAACAAAGTTTATAGTCAGAAATTTTCAAAATTCAATAATTTCAATAACAATAAATTTTATTTTAGCTCTTGAATCAACTTGCCTATCTGCTTTTTTCTTTGTGATTGGAATGTTTTTGTCTCTTCAACTAAAAATATTTGAAGAACTTTGCTTTTTCTTTTATTTTTTTATTTTTCATGAATTTTACCTTTAAAATCATAGTGATAGTATATACTAGGTTGTATTATCAATATATCCAATTGCTCATATTTATGTATGTCTGTCTGTTAAGGTAGTTACAGAGGCCTGTTCAGGATTTGCATTCTTGCTCAACTCCCACAGAGTCAACCTATGATTTACACTACAATTATAATGAGCAGACTTTAGTTTAAGTTTCTGGGAGAGGGTTCATAACTAGGTTTGATCAACCCTTTGAACAATGCCAGTAAACTCAAACCCTCAATACAATGACTTGTGACTTTATGTTATCACAACCATCAATGGCTTTCAAACAGTTTCATCCAGCCAGTTTTCAAACATACCTGTGGCTGAAAATCCTACCACAGGTAGGATTTTCAGCCACTTCCTAACAGTACAGCACACTGAAATCATCTCGCCAGGCCAATATTATCATGAAGTCACCCCCTGACAAATTGACTATGGTAAGATTTGAACCTGAGTCTCATCAGTGGAATACTAATATTCTAACCCCATGTCATACATCGGTTGCTAAAATAGAGTACTTTAATACACAGTTACTCAAATTTGACTAACAGAAAACCCTATACCAAGAACAACATTCTACTTGTAAAATACACCTTTGTGTAAAAACATGCAGTCACTAATAATCCTATTATTGGATAAAAACAAAAAAGACATCTTTACCATCTGAGCAACACTCTTTATTCTATGCAACTTTTCAATCATTCTTTTGTTGTTGTTGTTGTTGCTGTTGCTTTTTGTCAAGCTTATCGAAGAGGAACTATTGGCTCTAAAGGAGCCCATTTTCCTCCTCGTAGGCACCAAGGCTACCCATGTCACTTGTCTTAAGACGGAGAATCTCTTTTTGTCAATCATGGTTAGCATCATTCTGCCACTGAACTGTGACATGTCACCTTCAAAGAACTGTCTAGAAGCTGAATTCATCTGAAGACAAAATGTTCTTGACAACGATGGCATTCAGATAACAACATGTTTTTTTTTTCCTTTCTTCTGATGCATCTTTCTCATTTTATTTTTATTTTGAAAGAAAATGGAGGAGGGAAAAAAGATTGTCATAAAAATTTACTGTGCATTGTTTTTTTTTTTTGAGGAAAGATTATGTTATGTCTGTCATTTTGTTACCTTTATTTTAAAAAAATATTTAAGACCAAGCAAAAGATTTCATTTCTTATATTTATCATCATTCATTATTTGAGTCATTATTTCCTTCAATGTGAATATCATGTCTTTCTTCTTTTACTCCTTCCCATTATTACAACCATATTTCTTTCTTTCTTCTTTTTTATTCCTTCTCATTATTACAACAATATTTCTTTCTTTCTTTTTCTTTTACTCCTTATTATTACAATCATATTTTGTTCTTTTTCTTTTAGTCCTTCTCATCATTACAACTATTTTTCTTTCTTTCTTTGTCATTCTTTTATCACTTCTCATTATTACAACCATCTTTCTTTCTTTCTTTCTTTTTTCTTTCTTTCTTTCTTTTTCTTTCTTTCTTTCTTTCTTTCATTCTTTCTTTCTTTCTTTCTTTCTTTCTTTCTTTCACCACTTCTCATTATTACAATATTTCTTCTTTCTTTTTCCTTTACTCCTTCTCATTATTACAACCATATTTCTTTCTTTCTTATTTTTTACCTCTTCTTATTATAACATCATATCTTTCTTCTTTAATCCGTTCTCATTATTACAACCATGTTTCTTTTTTCCTCTTTTAGACTTTCTCATTATTAAAACCTTGTTTTTTTTTTTTTTTTCTTTCTTAATCTTTTACTCCTTCTCATTATTACAACCATGTTTTTTTTCTTCTTCTTTTTACCCCTTCTTATCAGAACTATATTTCTCTTTCTTCTTTTATTCCTTCTCATTATTACAACCATATTTCTTTCTTTCTTTTTTTTTACCTCTTCTTATTATAACATCATATCTTTCTTCTTTAATTCGTTCTCATTATTACAACCATGTTTCTTTTTTCCTCTTTTAGACTTTCTCATTATTAAAACCTTGTTTCTTTTTTTCTTTCTTTCTTAATCTTTTACTCCTTCTCATTATTACAACCATGTTTTTTTCTTTCTTCTTTTTTACCCCTTCTTATCAGAACTATATTTCTCTTTCTTCTTTTATTCCTTCTCATTATTACAACCATATTTCTTTCTTTCTTTTTCTTTTACTCCTTATTATTACAACCATATTTCTTTCTTTTTCCTTTATCCCTTCCTGTTATTACAACCTTGTTCCTATCTATCTTCTTTTTACTCCTTCTCATTATTATTTACATATTAATTTTAATATGACCGATGTTTCTGTTTCCTTTACCTGTACATCCTTAACAAGTCATCTTCATCATTACTCAAACAAATTCAAGTCTGGTACAAGAGCATTCTCATTGAGCAACTTATTTGTTAATTACCTTTAAAACAAGCATGCTAAGCACTACTGCAGGCAGGAGCATTTTTTTCTATTGGAAGAAGTAATTTAATTACAGAACTTCTTTAACACCTTTATAATTCTTCTCCACGTCTCTAATAATTATAATCTTTTTAATAATATTTTCTTACAACTTCATACTTGTGTCGTCTCATGATTGTCACTGGAGATCATGTGACAGCAAATCTCATCAAATCTTTACACTCAATAGAGATCTGGAATATTTTTTTAAAATTCATTCTGCAGAGAATGAATAAAATATTTGTATGGAAATTTCTCATTTGTATTGTTTTTAGTGATGGTTTACTTGTATGTAGAATCCTGCATTGGCAAAAGGACCATTAGTAGGCAGGAGAAATACTTCAAGAACTACTTGAAGACTTTTCCTCAAAGACTTGGACCATAAAATCAGTTCCAAGGTAGCCAGGGCCCAGAAGCAAACCTTTGTAGCAGAGCAAAATCTTGTACTATTTCTGCCTGCAGTAGATTGCAAACTCATGACAAGATACAGAAGGTGATTATCTCCCTTTGTTGGATATAAATCACATCAGTCACATGACAGACCGCTTAGTGACATCACTCCATACAATGATGAAAGCAGTTAAATTCAGTATTTTACAGCTGCTAAACCAAAAGGTTGCTGTCTTTAGGCTGGGCGCCCCATGTTTGCATTCATGGAATATGTCCTAGCCTGTGACATAGACAAATCTGGCCCATTTGAATCTGGAGTCCAGTTGAGTTCATTGCATTCACTTATGTGCAAATATTCTTGAGAAAGGTATGAATCCATCTCTTCTCCCTCAGCTATGGATTAAATAGTAGGACGTACACCTGGAAAAATTATTGTTATTTCCAAAAAATTGTTATTGCAATATTCACTTGCAAAAAATAATATTTTAATATCCCAAAAATAAACGAATTGATAAGCTGTAGATAATCAGTCCCCACAAGTGGCCTGGCTGCTGGGGAATAGATGCTTCTATGAAGACACCATCACTTTTAGATTGCCAAACAAGACAAAAGAACATTTTTTTATCTGTTCATTAATTGAGTACTTGTGACTATATACTAGCACAACCATCAATGACTTCCAAGCAGTTTTGCCTACCCAATTGTGTTATGGTGTTCAGGCTTTTACCAATGGTGCTGTACGCTGACATCATTTCCTCAGAACAATATTATCAAGAAGTCATCTCCTTGGCTAACCAACCATGCTGAGATTCAAGTCGAAGTTGTATGGCTTGTTACACTAATGCTCTAACAATTCTATAATTAATTTCATGGTAATTGTTTTAATGAGCTTTCCTTGTACCTAGACTTTATGAATTTAAGCACAGTGCTAGATTGGGAGGAAGGTACTATCATTTTACAGTTGAAACAGGTAGATGTAACCATAAGTTCTATGATAACAGTTTCTTTTCTCACACATCTTGTTTGTGGAACTCTTCCAGATTCTTGCTTTCCAATCAACTTTGTTCTTCAAAAATTTAAATGCAATGTTATTCATTATTTTCTCTCTTCTTAATTCCTGTTCTTTTATTGTTCACTCTCCTGAATAATGTTTTTTTTTTCCTCATATTCTTTCACACTCAGAAACTCCTTGTGTATTAAAGGCTTTATTGCCTTGCTTGGGGTGAAATGATTAAAAAAATCATAATTACTTTCTGAACACCTTTATATTTTGAAGCAGAATACAATGATCTATTTAAAAAAAAAACATTAATAATGATCCTCACTTCTGATTGGTTGTTACAAAACCTCTATGTTCAAAACTCCATTTTTATCATTATACAGATATATATATATACATATTCTCAATTTTCATTGCTTTCTAATCAACTAGATGTTTCCATCTGTGTTTGGACCAGTGCCTCTTTTTTCTCACAGCTGCATTCAGTATATGAAAAGGTACTAACCTTATTATTATAAAACAAACAATTGAAAAACTAAGTAGTTTGAACTTGGTAGAAGATAAAGGCAGTAGAGTTGATACTACTTACTGAAAGATAATGGTACATAAGAAAAAAAACATATTGATTTAGTATTGATTGTCAGGTGAAAGGTGATCAATCAATTTAGAATTGTTTATTCCTACATATTGCATCATATTGATTATACTACAATGTTGCCCATTGTATGATGTTGTTTTAATGTTAGGAATACACTTTCACTGTTGTGGGTAATATCAGGTTTTGTCAGCTGTCTCATGAGATGGTCAGGCTTTCATCACATCTGGGTAAGTGAAGCTGACTCAGTACCTACTTAACCTTTGTATCGAGTTGACAGTGCATTACAAGACAAGAGACAGTTTTATATATACTATTATCATGCCCATCTTTACAATGAAATTTGGAGGATTATATATATATATATATATATATATATATATATATATTAGGATACTACAACAAAAACATGTAAGAATTGCTACACAATTGCAGTCATACCTGGATATATATATATATATATATATATATATATATATATATATATATATATATATATATCATTGTACCTATATATATGTGTCTGTGTGTGTGTACAGGATGCGATGGATATATTGTCGTATAAATTATGCAAAAATGAAAATAAAACTGACATCTCATTTTAACAGATATATTTACCAAAATTACACAAAAATATCTTGAAATACTAAAGAGTAAAGTTATTTGATAAAATCACCATTGGCTTCAACCACGGCCCCCAGATGACTTCAGAATCTTCTATAACTCTAACTCTTCAGAATGGTCTTGTTTAAATTGCTGAATGCTACCATAATCCTTGCCTTCAGTTAATCTTTGGAGTTAAAAGGAGTTTTGTTGGTCTCTTGCTTAACTCTGCCCCACACATAATAATCAAGATGGTTGCAGTCTAGGGAGTTAGGTGGCCAGATGTAAGGGATGATGTAGTCGCAGAAATTGTCTAACAACCATGACTGGGTTCTCCTGCTTGCGTGGCATGGTGCAGAGTCCTATTGCCAGACATAGGGTCTTCCAGCAGCTAAACAGCAGCTAGGCTTCCATGTTCAGTCTGAGGCCTTCACCAACAAATTTGGGAGTTCTTTTCTTATCAAAACAATCAGAGTTAGTTTTAAAAGCTGCCTTACATTCATAATCATCATTGACATACACTCTGAAATGTTCATATTGGAGCTTCTGACACAAATGCCAAGCAGTACAGCATGCCATTTCCAAATTTCTAGTGCGGTGAATTGCATCATGGTGCTCTTTTTCTCACAGACAAGTGCTCAACTTACCCTATTATACTGTGCAGTTGACAAAATCAAAAACAAACAATGCACAATAGGATTTTACCTCAGTACTTTTAGGATATATAACTTAGAATACCTAAATGAAGAAGAGAAATATATTGAGAAAACTCTCAAAATTCTCCTCTACCCACATAATTTTATCCTCAACTCTGAAAAATAAGCTTACAAAATCAACAAAGCCAAAAAACAGACACCACCAATGACACTTCTCACAAAAATTACACAAAATTCATAATCCTGCCCTACAACACTCTTTCTACGAAACTCATAAATTAGTCATCCTTAATTCTAAGATCATTACCACCACCTCCAAGACAATCAGAGATACACTTAGGAAGAAAAATAAGCCCAACACCAATTCAAATGCTGGGATTTATCAAAATAAATTGTTCACAATGCAAAGATGTTTATATGGGGGAGACATCATGTGATGTAAAAGCCCACATTTATGAACACAAGAGAGACTTGCATTTGGAAAAATGTTCTAACTCTGTTATTTTGCATCAAAATGATGCTGGACATAATTTTGATTTCACTAATGCCATCCTAGTTAAAAAGAACATAATTCTTTAAGGAGAAAATACACTGAAAACTTAATAATAAAATTACTACCAACTATAAACATATGCATAAAAGATTACATTGCCAACCTTTCTTGAATCCATTTTTAAAGAATCTAATATATCTAATCTAAAGAATACATGCTTAAAAAAAATCAGCCATAAATTAGAATGATGTGCCACCCCATTGCACTGATTTGACCACACAAAAGATGAAGACATCAGAACTCTCACTAGACAGGCACACACACACAATTAAAAAGACACATTGCTATCCACTTAGACATACAAGAATCTTCACAAACTTACATACATATAGAATTATCTATGGTTTTAATGCATGTGACACATGTCTGACCAATGAGAACTGACCCAAACAGAATTGAAAATGCCAAAGTTTCTGTCTGTTTGTTTTCCCTCAATCTTTGATGAAACTTTAAAAGTGAAACATGTTAGATTGATATACATTTCTTATTTGTTCTTTATTTTATCATATATATATATATATATATATATATATATATATATATATATATATATATATATATACCTCATAGATAAAAATTTTGAATAGAGTTTGAAATTCACTGTAGGTTACCTGGATAAACAAGCACCTGATAAAGGCTAAAGAACACAAAGCATGGATAAGTATTCATGCAAGCCCTTCCAGTGGACAACACTGGGGCCACAATGATGTAGTCTTTGCCATCTTCTGGCCAGCTTGTA